ATAAGTGTCGTTCCCATAGACGGCACCAAATGTTGATGCACAAAATCAGTGAGGACTTTGGTTCAACAAAAAATGTTAAGTTTGTGACCTTCGCTAGATTGCTTCGGTCACTAGTGTGGATAAGTATGTAAATGGATAGGGACAGGGAAGCAAACACAAGAAGTACGTGGTTCACCCAGATTGGCTACGTCCACGGAGTAGAGGAGTTCTCATTAATGATGAAGGGTTTACACAAGTACATAGGTTCAAGCTCTCCTTTAGTGAGTACAAGTGAATGATTTAGTACAAATGACATTAGGAAATATTGTGGGAGAATGATCTCCTTTTATCGAAGAGTTTCTAGCTTTGTTCTGACATTGACACGTGTCGTGTTGTGATTGGCTTCTGATGTTGACACGTGTCGCGCTGTGATTAGCTTCTGATGTCGACACGTGTCGCATTGTGATTGGCCTCCTAGTTGGAGGGAAACTCTTCTGGATCCTTAACAATATAACGTTGACCGGTGCTCAATAGTTTCGGGATTGGTCAAGTATGGTACAAACAAATCCAATTCTTTAGAGTTTGATGGATGAATTTTATTTTCTTGTACTGTGTAGTAGACGTCTACAAGTACTAGTTTATAATTCAAAAGTTTTTACGAGGTGTGTAGTGAACATATATTACTCCCAAATTTCCAATTGGAACAATTTTGAACAATTTATGAACATTAGTAGTCTGCTGCAAGTAATTTTATTCAAAACTTAATTATTGTAACCATCTTTATTATATAACCCTTACTTTGTTGTAGGTCCGCTATCCTTTGACTATGTAGATTCCATTGGCAACAAGCCAAAGTTAAAGTTGAATCCATACTCATGGACAAAGGTGTGTGACGCTAATTCAATTGCCTTCGAAGTGTTTGTGTTTTCGTATGTGAGATCAATTGCTGCAGCTTTGAGTTATTCTGGATTTTATACAAATATTGTCAATAACCCAAGAATTTCAGGTTGCCAACATAATATTTGTAGATGCACCTGTCGGCACCGGATTCTCATACGCAAAAACTTGGAGAGGATACGCTAATATGAGTGACACTTTATCAGCAGCACAAACGTATGAATTTCTAAGAAAGGTGAGGATATATTTAGCTACCAACATGGTAAATGTATTCACACATACAAGGTTTTTAGCTACATTCGTGTATTGGTGCAGTGGCTTATGGACCACCCTAAGTTCTTCAACAATCCACTCTATATTGCTGGCGATTCTTACTCGGGGGTTGTTATTCCTCTTATCGTTCAAGAAATATCCGATGGTAAGCTATTTTCATCACCCCATCGGGCATAGTTCTTCCTCTTACATTCAACCTTTATTTCATTCAGTGTCACATGTATATATTAACATTTCATTCATCAAGTCTTCATGCTCAATATGTGGCAGATGAACACATTGGGTATTGATCTGCAGTTGTTTTGTTTGTTTCTTATATGTAGGTAATCTGGATGACAATATGCCGCCAATGAATGTCAAAGTACATCTTCTTCAATGAGAACATGAATGATTTCTGTTATGTTTTAGTTAATTAATTCCTGACCATATGTTGGATGCAGGGATATGTGCTTGGCAATCCAGCGACAGATCCGAAAAAAGATGAAAATTCCAGAATTTTATTTGCTTACCTAAAAGCACTTATATCAGATGAACTATACCAGGTGAAATAGCCTCTTGTTGGTTTCAAGTTGAGATTGGACTGTGGCTACTCAGATTAATCTGAACCATATTTTGATCAAACTGCTGGATCTTAGCTCTTAAGTAATATCTGTAGTTCTCAATAAAACAACAACGTCTCTCAAGTTACAAATTTTCATATTTTTGCTAGTCACTTGAAACAAATTGCAACGGAGATTATGTCAATGTGGATCCATACAACGCATTATGTGTGGTTGATCTTGAAATTTACAACGAGGTGAGTGGAAACACTATAAGGTCCTTGGTTTCCGCAAGTACTTGTCATTTTTATGTAATCTGGGATCATTATACTGACTTTACATTTGAATTCACAGTGCACGGAAGACATACGCTCTGTACAGATATTGGAACCTTCATGTACTGTAACTTCGCCAAAATCAATGGGATCAATATGGAATCCCGACCATCTCAGTGATAGGGACTCTAAAAATATCCTCCTTACTTCTTCTGGACTTCCTAGGCCATGGTGTCGGGTATATATCTCTCAGCATGCACGCACAAGCGAACACACGTGCACTCTAATCATATCTGCCTTGTTTTAATGTAGGAATACAATTATATCTTCTCTGAAATTTGGGCAAATGACAAAACTGTTCAAGATGCTCTTCATGTTCAGGAGGTAATCGATAGTTAAATTTTAAAAATCCACTTCAGGTTCTCATATTTTAGGGGACTTTAATTTTCTGATTTTAAATGACAATTAGGGAAGCATTGAAGAATGGATGAGATGCAATAAAAGCTTAGAAGATTCAAATATAAATGATGTTTCCTCTAGTCTTGTATATCATGAGAACCTCATAAAACAAGGCTATAGAGTTCTTATTTACAGGTAATATATCTGTCCAACTTTCTTTCGTTAGGGAAGTTTTCTAACAGAATCTGACACAATGTGTTTCCGTATATATCGCATGATCGTTGCTTCGGCACTCAAAATTTCTGTTAACAGTGGTGATCATGATATGGTAGTTCCATATGTGGGTACTCTTGCTTGGATAGAGTCGCTTAACTTGACTGTTGACAGTCGTTGGAGGCCATGGTTCGTCAGTGGGCAGATTGCAGGGTTGGTGTTCAATTTTCGCTTACGACATAATCTTTGTTCCCCCGTTCATACAGAGTTTAATAATAAATTTAGAGTACAATTATCACATGCTTACCACATATAATGTTTTTACCTTTAGATACAGTGTGCAGTACTCACACATAACTAATTACAAGTTGACATTCACGACTATAAAGGCAAGAAGCCAAGAACCTTCATGAACTTAACTTTCATACATACTAGAGTTTGCTTGAGCAAAAGCTGACTAAATTTTTCTCTTAATGCAGGGAGCCGGTCACACAGCTCCAGAGTACAAACCTGAAGAGTGTCTTGCTATGATTAATAGGTGGTTTGCATATTACCCTTTGTAGTCAGTAGTTCTGATGAAGTACCCGTCGATTTATAGATCCTCACTAGCAAGAGTGCCTGCGCGGTGCTGCGGGTTTTGAAACTGTATAAAACATGTAGAAAGTTGTAAATATAAATTATAAGTCCTATGCTTATATAAATCTATTTAGAACCCTATCTAGAATAAGAAACAATGAATAGTGTTGACCTTATTTAATCTAATGGGTTTGTTTCTTCACTTTGTTCCTCCTTTCTTCTGGTAGTAGGTGTTTTCATTTATCTGTTAGAAATTGGAAAAATTGAAGTTAATGTGAACAAATGATAGTTGGATTTGTTAAAACAGTTGGATTTGTTAAAGGATCCTCTTGCTAAAGATCAGAACAATAAAAGGACTTACAGAAAGTTATATAAAATGACTTGCGCAGTTGAAAACTGTTGGCAGACCAGGTCCTACATAGATGAAAACATTAGGCATTATTAATTAAACATGTAAAGTGATAGGATTTTTACTACTCATGTGAACGGGCTTAAATCTCATATTTTACTTGCAAGAATCACACGGTTATTGTAGTATAAACGGATTTCGCAAGGTCGTCTCCACAGGGATTATTAAATAATTCGAACTAATCAGATTTCATTTAATTATTGTAAAGTAGAAATTGAAGTGATTGATTTTATAACCTAATTAAAATAAAAACGAAATTAATGAATTAAAATAAACAATCTGCAATATTAGAGCTAGAGAGAAAGAAAACAGTTTTGGGAGAATAAAATTAAGAAAGCACTAGGGTTCCACCATCACCTAGCAATCCTATGAATTTTTACCAATTACTTATAATCTACACATGCCACTTTGAAGGTTAGATTTTCCTAATTCATATTCTACTTGGAACCTCCAACATAGAACGTATATCTAACATGCAACCCGTCCGGACGTTCGGATCAAATCTAAACATGAAAGACTCATTATGCTTTATGAAAATCCTTTGAAAAACCATGCAATCCTGAAGACGTGATATTCATCCTAAGAGAAATTACAATTATTAATCACAAGAAGCCAGCGTCAATTTCAGAGAACCTTCCTACCAAAATTGCATCAAATTACTTTTCTAAAGATCCTAATGGTGATCAGGCATTACGACAATTAGATAGTTTTTATCCCGGTGATTAACAATTCAAAGTACGCATGCAATCAATCATAAGCAATTAAATTAAAATCACATATTCTTGCTAAGGCTCAAGGCTTCGCCCTAGCAAAAGAAATTAGTTCCGCATATTTTGAAATCATAGAAAATATATTCAAGAAAAGGATTGAAAGCACCTTCAAGTAAAAAGTCTTCAAAACCCTAACAATTCTTTGTCTCCAAAATTGCATAAAAGAAAGCGTAAGGGAATATGGTAGACGGCCAAGCCATATATCTGCCAAGCCTCCCCACAAACCCTAGGAAACATAACCCTAAATTAAATGATAAAATTCGTCTAAAATCTGAACAGCCACGCTTTGACCCATAAGCTGCTCCAAAACTGGCCCAATATAGCTGGATTTAATGTTTGGAATATTTTGAACACTTTTCCAAAAGGCCACGAACCCATCCGAGGTCATCTTGGGCTCCAAAAACGCAATTTAAGCCCAAAAACGTCATTTTCTAGCACTGCGCACTGCGCACTGCTTCTTTATTTTATCGCTAGAAAATAACCGCTTGGTGGAAAAATCCCAAATTTTGATACGATCAAGCTAAGTGACTCACGAACGTCCTCCAACTGGAATTACTCCAAAATTCGTCCATTTGGTCATGTTTTGCTCCAGAGGAAGTCGAAAGTCCTATATTGAAAATACAATTCAAAGTATCAAAATTCTTCCAATATATTAACCAAAATATACTAAGATTAGGGTAAAATATATAATATAAAATCTACTCATCATAAAGTTTATGTCAAATTTTATATTATGTGTGTTTTGAACTATGTATGATAACGATGAGATAACAAAACATATGCGTGGTTTGAGCTATGGCCTTAAACCTTAAATACTGCATGAATCCAAGTTTTACAAATTATTTGTATTCAAACCAATCAATTGAATTATGCTTAAACAAATTTGGTCTAAAGTGTTTAAAAAGTGAAAAAAAATTTAAACTGTTTAAAAGGTGAATATAAACCCTCATTTTGCAGAATTGTTAACTTAGAAAAACGAATGCATAAACGGTCAGATCATGTTTTAGAGAAAAGTTTCTCTATCTTGATATTCAACACACAAAATGTCAAATCTAAAGTATTTAGCATACTTAAAATGGCTTCTGGAATTGATTTGTTCAATGAGATAATGAGCGAAAGACATAAAAATAAGATCGTACTAAACTTTTTTGTGCAATCATTGGTTCATTGTTAAAAAGATTTGTAGAGATGAGAGATTTTTACCTAATGTTTTAGAAATGATGGTGGAGCAGTAGCTGTCGCAGTCTTAGTTATAAGCATTTGACCAAAGAGTGATCCAATTCAAGTTCAAGGGGTTAAATCTGCAACCAAAAACAATAACAAAGCAACCCATAAAGTTATGAAACTAATCCTATGTATTTGAAACTATATAACAAAGCAACCCATAAAGTTAAGAAAAAGATAATCTAGTCGACAAATTTAAATTCAATTTTTATATTTCAATATATTTGTTTGTCAAACTTAGTGATCAAACTTTATACTCATGCTTTCCAAAAAAAAAAAAAAAAACGAAGAAGAATTGAAAGTACTGACCATTCCAAGCAAAAGAGAGCGAAAACTCATTTCTTAGTCTCTTCATTTGGGTAGTCGACTCTACACTTCCTTCCAAGCCTTGTATCTGTATCCAAAATAGCATACATCAATAGGCAAACATCAAAACTTCATGACAACTAACAAATATAAAAAAACAACGAATAAACAACAAAAGCAGAGAAAAGTAGTCACTTTCTTCATCCCAAGTAATTTCTTTTTTTATACAAAGGAATTCCAAGTAATTCTAACGACATGGGTTCCAATATAATTAGAACACCAAGTTGCCGCATTACCTCTCTTTTTTTTTTTAATTATGCGCAAAAACACCATTGGTCTATATTATGCCAAAAATGTTTCACTAAATGCATTTATTTAAAAAGAAAATCAACCACACCGGGGAAAAACTAAATAAAATAAAATAAAAAGTCACACCATTGTAAACCATAATTTGTAAATTCAGGAAAAAAAAAAGTGAAATTATAACCTGTGACAATAAGATCAGCTAGCCAAACAAAAAAATTGATTTCAGCTTTTTATGGCATAATTTTAACATACGATAATGACAATAAATATAAAAATTTAGAATGAACATACCAGTTGGCGAAATATAGGCGAATCATCAAACTTTCCAAAATGCATGTGTAGATGGATACAGATATCGCCTTCACCTTCATCTTGAATTTTAGTGAAACATAGTGCCTAACAATTGTGGCATAAATTAATTTTAAATTTTCCATCACTCGTAAATTGTAATTAAATAAAGTGAATGCACAATAATCATATCCCAATCATACAATTAAGGATTTTCAAATGTCATAATATTTAACAACTACTATGCATAGTTCTTAAAAAAAAGAGTATAAAACTAACATGTAATTACAGCAGCTATGAGTATAAACTAATGAACATTTTCTTTAAAGACATAGTGCGGTATAAATTATGTCACATAACATCACTTAGGAATGGGATTTAGTTTAGAGGCTAACCTTCCCATATCAAATCCATTCATACTGATCACCTGATGTTAAGAAAGTTTAACATTAAGAGTATATAATTCAGTAAATTTAAGAAAGTTGGAATTCAATCATGTTAAATTCATAATTTTTTAACATGCATTTCCATCATAATAACCACCACATCATCATATTTTCACAACCATTAAATCAAAAGAGATATTATAGATTAATTACTCAATTCACCTTAACCATCAAATCCAACAAAAAATCTTGATGTAACAAAGATAAAATAAAACAGGAAAATTAAAATTTCTAAAGCATATATGTCTCACAGGTCATAATGAAGAACCAATAGGAATCAACATATTATGTGTATCCACAAAATTATTCCAACTTCAAATCTCATTGGCCTATATTAAGATGATAATCCTACAAACTCCCTTTGCCATGCTTTTTTGAAAAGTGATGAATTTGGTTTTGCAATGATATGTGGATTCTTGGGATATTTGAAATTAATTGGATCAGGCCTTTTTAGTTCTGTTGGTTCGTTTTTGGTTTTCAAAACTTCTCTATATGTATGTATGTACGCATAGTAGAATGCAAACAGCCTAACTATAGTTATTTAAAACTAACTCAATTTTTTGATATGATTACTAAAATTTGAAGCTTGGAAAAGAGAACCAACCTAACTCCAGAGGCATCAAATGTTTCCTTGGGAAATTGACCTACCTAACAGGAAAGTTCTAAGTTAAGGAGGTCTGGAAGGAGTAGATAGGTTACATTTAGAGATGTATAAGACTAACCTTTACAGAGCACCTATTAATCACTTCCAAAATGAGAAACACAAAATCTGAAACAACACCTAAATCATATTAGGGTTGAGAATCTTTAATTTATTAGAATTAGGGATCCATTAATACAACTATGTCACACTCTGGTACTAATTTTTTTATTTGGCTCATCAACCGCAGACGGACTCATTGTATAGAAATATGTCTAAGACATAAATGAAAGGATCATAAACATGTTTGACAATACTGATAAGCAAAGGGATCTTGCTGTCAAAATATAAAAGGTAGTTTAGACTTTTGCCAGATTGGAATCCTTCCAGAATTAATTTGAACCTCAGCATTCGAGAGGTACAAAAGATGCGTCAACTTCAACTAATAAATAATATTGAAATTAAGAGAGAGAAATGGTATTGAGATTAAGAGAGACAAAGAAAGGAGAGAGAGGGGCAACAAATGGGTTTATTGAATTTGAAGAAATTTGAACTCAAAGTCTCCAACTTGAATACCTTCATCTCTAAATTTCTTCAAAGAAATTAGGACATATGTAAATCAAAATCGAATATAAATTCAAGTTCGAAATCGAACTCAATTGGAATCAGATCGAAAGAAAATCTAATAAACAATAGCGATTAAAGAAATCTAAATTCGAGAAATATACAGAGCACACACCTGAAGAAGTTATACCCTATCTGAAAGTTCTTTGTGCAAATAGAAACTTGAAACTGCAAAGCAAAGAAAACCACGGCTTAAGAATGAAACATCACTCAAAATTTATATTAAAAAAAACTTAAACATATAAAAAGTTAAAAACTACCTTTGGAGAGAGTGCTAGCCCAATCCCCGATCCCTAAAACCAATCAGTAGATGAAAACCAAAGAAAAAATAACTGCAAACTAAGCAATAAACACATGAAGCATCAAAACAAAGTAAATTCTTATTCTTTCATTAAAAAAAAAAAAAAAACTCTTGACAAATAAAACGTACAAAGAATTGATATTTGGATCCTCAAAACCCTAACTGATAATCAACAATTAGATAGCTAACTGAACAAAGCTGTTACACACATAGCAATTAAAAGAAGAACCTCTACACACATATTATACTTGATCCCCATCTAAAATCATTAAACCCAGATCGTAAATAATCAGAATTCGCTAGAAAAACCATAACCATTATCATATATGCGAAAAAGCAATAAAATTGAAATCCCAAATTAAAAAAATCGAAAAACCCTAGCTCGCAAATTCAAATTTTCATCTAGATAACATGCAATTCAAATAAAAATTAAAACTCTCCATCTGGGTTCCTTTGAATTCTACCCAACAATACTGTAATGCGAAATTAGGCATACTATTAGCTGCTGAACCGCTTAGATTATGGCTGCCGGTGTTGTCGGAAGGCTAAAGCTTTTCTGGGTTCAGAGGAGATAAGACCTTTGAGACCAAGGAGATTCATATGAGATTTAAGTTTAAACCGAAAATAAGTTGGGTGATTGGGAGATGAGGCTAGGAGGGAGATGGGGAGAGCAGGAGGCAGGCAGAGAAAAAGTGGGTCGATAGTCTGAAACGGTGGGAAGCATCCAGTGACAAGGAAGGTCGAGAGACTGAAACGGTGTGGGAAGGAAGAATCCAAAAATGAAGTAAAATACCAAAGATTAAAGTAGGGCTAAAGACGGAATCACACTGTATAATAAACAATGATCACAGAAACAAAGAAGGGGCAAAAACGGAAGAACATTGATGAATGAACAGTAAAAAGGACACAAAGGGAATTAACCACAAAGTTAGGCGTTTAGTATATATATAATTTATTTGGAGTAGATTTATAACAAAGTGTGGAATAAACGATATGTTGTAAGCTTAAGTCATGAGGTGTTTAATTTGCTTTTGCACATTACCAAAGACATCTTTGTTTAACCGTTTCACTTTGAATTTAAATCTTTCAGCGTACGCTCTAAACATATCATTTGGGTGTCTAGAGATATTACATTGCCAATTGTCTATAACAAATTGATTGAATTCAGAGTGATTAAGCCACATTACCTCAAACTTGAAAGAGTCCTTCCTTTTATAGCCAATATTATTACAATGAAGTATGGTAGGACTAAGGTCCGAGCCAAATATTGGCAATTGTGTAAATGAACATGTTCAAACATATTTAGCCACTCGAAATTAGCAAATGCACGGTATAACCTTTCAAAAACTACCGATTTATCCTTATGTCCATTTGTCCAACTGAAAGGAACTCCAGAAGCAGGTATAGAGACAAGATTACGATGATTGTAAAATTATTGAAATCAATCATGTACTTAGTTATTGTTCTATTCCCTCCCAAATTTTCTTTGGCGTTTAGGATATTGTTAAAATCTCCCAAGAGTAACCAAGGATCGTTATTTGGGTTCAATGTAAAAATTTTACTCCATAACTCATATTGTAATTCTTTTTTATTGTAAGCATACACTAAAGTAATTAGATAACTTGTATCACAAACAAGATCATGCACAATAGCATGTATAAAACGATCAAAAGAGTAGATTATATTGATATTCAAGGCATTCGATTTCCAGAACGAACGAAGGCCACCAGCCTTTCCAACACCTACTCCATTAAAACTACAATAAATAAAAAAAGCATTATAACAAGTAGAAGAGACCTTATCAAGACTAGTATGCGCTTCAACAATAAAAAAAAGGTTCAGTTTGTTAATCACACGTGAAAATCTAAATTATGACACGAAATCAGGTCTAGACAGACCCCTGCGATTCCATAACATGCTTCTCATCAATTAATTTCTTCAAGACAATGGCTACCTGCTTCTGCAACAAACTCCTCCCTGGTTGTCGTTTTGAGGAAAATCTACTCCTTCAGCGTCCTCCTCAGTGAAGCCAATGATCGGTCCAGGTACAACATCTATGGCTTGAACTTGGAAGACTGATCTCGCCTGCTGGATCTTCCTCTTCTTGAAATTGTTGGTGGCCCCCATATATTTAGATTCAACGAAGATGTTGTTGATTTAGATTATCTTGGTTGGGAGTTCGACATCGACATTTGTGCCTCTCCTTGGCTGCGTTGCGAGCTTGTTGACATACTTGTCACATCTGCCTTTCTTCACCAGCCTCTCAAGATACCTCTTCCAAGTGAGGTTGTGAAATCCCGTTCCCGGATTTCATTATTTAAAAATATATATATTTGTATTATTAATTTCAACGCGTTTATATTTACGACTTATGTTTTTTATGGAAAACACCTCGATCGCATATTGTGAAAAAGGAAGCCACGTGAGTGGCTGAAAAAAAAAAGAAAAAAGAAAAAAAAATAGAGCTGCCAAATGGCAGCTAAAGAAAAAGGAAAAAAAAAGGAGGCTACTTGATGGCATAGAAGGAGCGGGGAAATAAGGGAGAACGAAAGAAAAAGGAGGGAAGGGGGACGAATCAGGGGAGGAGAGAGGAAGCAGGGGGACGAATCAGAGAGGGGAATGAGGTGACGAGAGAGAGAGAGAGAGCAGCACGGGATCAAAGATCCCTACCCAATTTGTGCGACCCGACCCAGACGGAAGTAATGGAACCGTGGGTTCCCCAGGCCAAATTCTGGCGTTTTGAGACGAGCCACCACCTGAAAATGACTCACCATTGTTCCACCTTCCTGTCTCATAAAAAAAATGGAGTTGATTGGGCTCAAATTTGGAAGAACTGAAGCCGTCGGCTTTGAGGACACCCGGCGGCAATCCACCCATTTTTGAAACAATTATCTTCAATCATCACCACCAAAACACTTTCCTTGAGGCATAGAACAAAGCCCAAACAGCTATTGGGGCGGCGGAACACCAGTGGTGTCGAATCAAGAACACCCAAATTCAAGGGTTTCCAGCGGATTGAGGCTGTTTTCAGGTGTTTTTGGCCGAATTGGACTTCGGCCCAGGTATGAAAATTTCTCCCCTCATTGAGATCTTTATTCCTGTGAAATTTGAGAAATTTTGGAAATAGTTGAATTTTTCGGCAAGTCGGGGCGGTTGGCCGCTGCGTGCGGCGGCGGGTGGTGGCGGAGCGTGAGCCGAGACCCCACCTGACCTTTTTACACTAAATTGGATACCCTAATTCCATATGTGATGTTTGATTGGCGAAATCTCGTCATATGACTATAGTTTGATAAAGACCGCCACTTGGACATTAAATGAATCGACGATTCGATCGTTGAATCGTCAACAAAATTTAATATGTTATAGTATGTAATATTTGAGGATCATAAGAACTTACGAATCAGGAGTCCAACGTATGGATCTTTCCAAATTGGATTTGTAAGTTTGTAAAATAAAACGGTAACCGCTACCGGAAATTGTGATTGACGAAGATCCGACCGTCAGATCGTGACAAGATATTAGTATGATGTTCTATGAGTATAATGAGAACTTTAGGAAGTTACGGATCCGAAATCCGATTAGCGGATCTTTCGGATCGAATTATGTAGAGTTGTGGATCCTACCATTGACTGAGAGTTGACTTTTGGTCAACATGTCTCGAAATGTTCTAGATACTAGAATTGGTACTACCAGAGATTAAGTGAAGTCTAGTGGACCCACATTGGTTAGAGAGTGACTTGAATATATGTGATAGGGTTATTACCTTAATTTCTTATATTCGTATCCGTTGTGAATATGAATTGGTTTTATAAATATGATTTCTATTGAAATGTGATTTTTATATATTTAGCCATAGATCTATGTTTATTAAACATGATTTGGCTTGTGTACTGATGATGATTGTGACGTATATGTGTTTAGTTATCCTTTTAGTAATGTGAATGATAAATATGATAAATGTTATGACAATGAGATCTTAGAATCCTATTAAAAGTAGTTTGTAGAATTTATATGCTTGTGTTACATATTAGTTGGAGGCCATGAGAAGTTGATAGTGTAGGTGGCTACGTTGTAAATTATAGGGGGTTGAGGTAGTGGTAGGTTGAGTGGTCCAGAATCGTATCCATTCGAATTCCGTTGAGTGATGGTCCGGAATCCCTTCTACTCTGCGATTTCGTTGAGTGATGGTCTAGAATCGTACCCTGGGTTGGATATCGTTGAGTGGTCCAAAATCTCATTCTTCGAAGAAGTAGGCTTGGCTTAATTGTGGCACTTTAGCCTTCGTTTTAGTATATTTGTGAATAATGGTTTCGAGAATCTTGTGAATTGAATTAGAAAAGCGATTGTACGTTTGTGTGACTCCTTCGAGATTTTCTACGATTCGATTATGATTTCATAATATATGAATTTAGAAGATATGAGAATGATTGTTATTATTTTGACCAGATTAGTTAATTAATGTGGCTAGTGAATGGTTTTGTGCTTCATTGGTTCCTAAATATGATGTATGTTGTGAATTGCGATATCATGTTGGACATAATGATTTAAATGTTGGATGGAAGAGAAATCATGATTTTCATAGGGGTTTGTTATGTAGCCCTGAGTCTAGGAATTTCATGCTTGTCAGGTTCTATTAAATGTTTGATTGAGGAATGTTATGCCTTTCGGCTTGAACGGACTGTGATATATGTCGAGTTGTAGCGAAGGACGAACTACGAATGGCTTGATCCTTGTTGAGGGTACGTAGGCAGTCTAACGAGGAGGTTAGATGCAGCCATAAAGTATACGCAAAATTATTATGCATCTGGATCTTGAATTATATTTTGTACATATCAAAAAGGCAGGGTACGTTCAGTTACGAGCATTTAGTGACGTCACGTATCGATCGTGGATGTATGTCTGGATCGGGGCGTGACAGAGGTAGTCCTTGGTTGTGTGCCCCGGGCCCCCCATGAAATGCGTAATACTTCGACTGGTCCATCTTAGAAGTATCTCCCTTCATAGGTTGTGGCATCTTGAACCATGGCTAGCCCTTGAGTTCGTAGTGGATCTAGTTGATCAGGATTGAGAACTTGGTGAACATCTTAGGTGTCGAGCTTCCTTTCGCCGAGGATCGGTCCCTACGTTTGCTTTCTAGCTTGCTTTTGTCATTGAGCTACTTCTCTCTCATCATTTTCTAAACTGCCTTTGAGTCTTTCTATGGCTATTTAGGTGACTTCTGGGCGCGCCTGGCTTCATCCCAGAGTGAGTGTTTTTCTGCTAAAGCATAAGAGTTTGCCAGAGTAAAGTTCTCGACCATGATAAGTTTTCCAAAGAAGGGGTAATTTGCTGGGAACCCCTTCCTAAAAGTTGAGCTTGCATGGTATCGTCACATCTCTCGTGCTTCCCTTTGTTTGTTGTGTTGCTGCCTACTTTGGTGTTTCGTAGGATGATCCCCTTGCGAGCCTACCTGCGAATGGACGCTTCGCTTAGAATGTCCGGAATGCTTGTCAAAATGCAGACTTAACCCCGAATGTACACTGACTCATGGGGCATGCGAGGAATAAACGTTTCTCTGCACACTAAGGTAGAAGAAGACGTTTTCTCGAGGGCCATGCTCAGATAGTACACTGCCTGAACGCTAAGTTCGTGGCAGGTTGAACGGTTGCTTGCTGGGACGCTGATGGAAAGAGTCACGACCTTTTGCCCTTGTCCTATTTCTAAACACCTCGTCTGAGGTGCGTTGCGTCTTGATACGCTCAATGAGCTGATTCACCAAGGTCGTCTGCTACGCGAGGGCGCTAGTTAGGTCAGCGACCTGCTGGATAAGTGTTGCTAGTCATTTAAGATGGAAGATCTCAGATGATGGTCTGGTCGTTAGAATCCAGATCACCTGAAATGGTCTCCGACAGGTCTAGGCCGTGAGGCGAGTCGTCGAAGTAGGTCACAGGCCAACCTGCCTGGCTGGCTGAACCGTGAGCTGGGACGTGATGGGCTTGCGTGTGGGCCCGCTACCCATGGGCCTATGCTACGCGCTCAGCTGTCGTCTGCCCTTCTTAGGCTCGGGCTGCTTCTGCAGCAAGTGGGATGAGCCTCCTGCCCTAGGCTTACTGGGGCATCTGCTTCAGTTTGGGCCTCCTGTTCTTGATGCTCCTCTGCTGCACCATGAGCATAAGCCTCGACTTGGGCTGCTGCGGCTGCAATCATCTTTGTCGTGGGTTGCTGGGTAATGGTTATGGGACTATGATTTTCCAAGGTCGTAATAAGGCTATCCAAATACAATTACTTCAGAAGTCTATTCATAGACTCACCAGCTCCGGGTAGAGCTATATCAGACGGAGTAGCGGTGCCATCATCACTTAACTCAAAAGCACTAGGCGAAGTCCTAGCGACTCTGCTGGATGACCATGCTTGCTCTGCAAGGCACACGATCTTATCCAGATATAGACACAATCAATTTCTATAAGTCGTGGAGTTCCTACAATCTAGGAATTGGCATGCGCCGCAAGTAATCATAACTCCTAACATGATACAATATTTATTTCTAGATATCCTCTAGGATTCTCCCGGCTTAGAACGAGGACTCTATCCTGAA